ACTCAATATTTATAGGCAGACAAAATAAACTACAGACATGTGATGAGTCACGGGACATAAAGTGTACACACATACGCTCATATGAAAACAGTCAAGGCTAATAAGCGAATAATTAACAAGGTCAAAATATGACTCAGGTAGAATTAAATGTCGGAAAACTAGAATAAGACATATTATGGGCTAAAACATATGACTAACACTACACTAGTATTGCATACATTCACTTAGTCGAGATCAGCAATTTTTGTTATCATAACATACATTCTTCGTTTCAAAATCGCCTCCTATAATGTCTGTGGATGCATCTAACTAGCTGACTAGAAACCATTACGTTCATCTTATATATTCTTTCACATGCATAACAGCATGCCGCATCATTTATCAACCAAAAACGTTGTTCGAGTACTGCAACTACTATTCTATACCCATCGCACTGCATATCAGAATATAGAGTTTAGAACTAGTCTCTCAAAGATACACTCTTGTTCGTCACATCCAAGTCAGTCTCATACGTCGCCATCGCTAATCATATGTATTGGTATTTTTGTCATGCCTTGATACGGTTTTGTAACAAACGAGATCGAGCGCATCTCCCTCAAACCACACAAACCACTCCAGGCTTCATGACCAAAAAGGAATGCGACTCTACGTACTTCGTCTACTCAGTCACTACTCTGTTCCTCTGGTCATTCTAATAATACATATTCAACGATAACTCAATGCATCTGTGAGACAACAACATTCACTGACTTCGCATTTTATGATCATTATCAATTGCAGTACAGCAACGAATATCACCCGTCAATGCAGTTATCATTTCACGACTTTCCTATTATCATCTTACGAATGGGGAACCACTCATTTAAATTCAAATTCACTCATCGCTAATCGATGCTACCTATATATTTAACATATTTCACTATTCTATCGGCATCACAGACCAATTTCTGTCATATTCTACTTTACTTATTTTCACGATTTATTTCGCTGTCATACCCACAAAAAATTTATTACTATTTTCACGATATTTTGAATCGCTCATATGAACGTGTTATTTTATCGTTCAGACAGTCATAGCATTAGTACATGTTAATATTTTGTACGCTCATTAATTTGCTCATATTCACATGCTGACGTTTCCATTTTTGTTCGCGCCTTTTCTATATTCATGTATTCGTTTACAAAAGTATGACATTTTCATATAATACACTCAGCCCTCATGTGAAACACTACTTTATCGAGTGTTGTACAATTTTTTTTTCGCTACTTGTTGCTAACGTTAACTTCATATAACTTCAGTGTTATTTTCGAAAACAGACATTTTTTAAATGTTCTATTTTCTTCGAGGGGGCTATGTAGTGTTAGTCATAAGTTTTAGCCCATAATATATCGTATTCTAGTTTTCCGACATTTCATTCTACCTGAGTCATATTTTGACCTTGTTAATTATTCGCTTATTAGCCTTGACTGTTTTCATATGAGCGTATGTGTGTACACTTTATGTCCCGTGACTCATCACATGTCTGTAGTTTATTTTGTCTGCCTATAAATATTGAGTAACGCCTAGCTTGAAATGGAGTTGGCTTCCCAGCCATCTTCCATACACTCTGAATGGAGTCAGATCAAAAGGCCACTAAAATGGTGAGCGCTTCAACGAACATCGTCCGATTTAAGCAACGACAATACCACGAGCCGCTTCAATAGCTGTCATTAGCACAGTCAAACAAAAGCACATTAAAACAAACACTGGTACATTTGGTTATAATAATAATTGTTTTTATTAAACCAGTCGTGTTCTAGTGATAAATGTGAGTCACTACAGGAGTCCTCCGCTAGAAAGGGTTTACACTTTCGATAAATAGCGGTTTAAATCGTGGGACTGATCGGCTAACGAGCGATTATAGGACGAACGAGTTGGCGAACAGGAAAGCGAACGTTGATCGTCGAGTTGCCAACGAAGGTCGTTTTCGGGGAGCGGTACCAGGAGCGATGTGCTGTACTTGTTGCTTGAGTTGGCATGCTACACGAGTGGTTTGTATCCAGAATCTGAAAATGGCGTTCGTAGGGAATGCGGGACAGAAACGCTGCAGACGTAGGACGAAAACACGTTGAGGCAAAAGACCAGAAGCGACCGTAACGACCAAGTTCGAGACCAAGCGTATGCCAAACATTCAAACCAATATATCGACTGAGTACGTTGACAAGAGCGTGGGTGGCCAGTCCAGCTTTCGCCAAAGTTGACTGAAGTCGACGGAACCAAACGGAGATGGTCGAGGGCGTGGGCTCAGGAAACAAAAAGAAAATCAAAAAAGAGAAGTGTAGCATGCATGTAGTATAGGAATAATCCTATACCGTATCGGTTGTTCACTGTGCGATTTGTCACGAAAGCGTACGGGTAACCGTACTCGGCGACCGGAACGTGAGACGGTAGTCTCGTTCGCGCGCGTGAGCCCGCATCCTCATCCGAAGTCAAGGGCGGCGTGGTCTGCTGATCTGGACGTGAGACTGTCGTCTCGTCCGTACATAGTGCAGATGACGCGTGCTGGGACGTAAAAATGATGTCTCAGGTGTATCTAGCGTGGGACCTGAAGATGGTTTAAGGATCCTGCTAGTAGGTTTGTTAGGTCTAGCATTGAATCTCAGATTATCAGATAGGGCGCTCTCATCGACGTGTACTGGTTTGAGACGATCAGTGCTGACGATTTCGACGCGGCCGTGTCGATCAACCTTGAAGGTCTTTTCGTGACGAGCGATCACGCGAAAAGGGCCTTCGTAAGGTTGTTGCAGAGGTTTGCGTACCGAATATACTCGTAAGAGAACATGTGAACTGGTAGATAGCTCTCGAGGGAGAGCGACCTGTCGATGTTGTATTCGCATTGACACCGGAGACAGCGTTCGCATAAATGCAGACAGTCGATGGACGTAGTCTGCTCCGTGGTGTGAAGTATTCGACAGGCAGATTCAATGTCGTGCCGTATACAAGTTCAACGGCGGAACATTAAATATCTGCCTTTAAGCTCGTTCTGATCCCTAAAAGAACGAGCGGTAAGGTTTCGTGCCAGTTGCCGTTTTCGTGTGCTCGTAGAGCACTTTTAATTTGACAGTGAAACCGTTCATTTAACCATTTGGTGCTGGGTGGTAGACGGATATGCTTATGCGTATGCATTCCGTACCAAGCAGCCGGGTCAGAGAGGAGAATCGTTAATAGGGTAAACTTTTTCGAATGAAGCGTAGGATTTACCGTCACACGAATAAAAAGTGACAAGGATTCGGTACACATACGTCTATTATATTATTACTATTCTTACCGTTATCCGTCATGTCGCGTATATTATATGTTAAAAGATAATATGAAAATATACGACAGACGTGGATAGATGAACAACAGACTCACCAAATTGGCTTCTTTGGAAGATTTCTCCAGAGGTTGAGGCGTGTTCCAAACTTTGGGATCACCAATTGTAGCGTGGCGTCGAGTCCAGATTGACTATGTACACCGCTACCGAAAAATACGAACCAAGAAAATCAGAAGGCGTAGGTTGAGCGTAACCAGATTTAGTCGTTTGGCGATCTCGTAGTATCGAATGAATACCGAGATCGTGCCAAGAACGGTACAAGCGAAAGCAGGAGAATACAGTACGTGCGAACAGTAGCAAAAACCGCGGAACAATAATGGAAGGTAATGGGAGCACAAAATGGCTATAATTAACACAGTTAAACAAAAGCACATTAAAACAAACACTGGTACATTTGGTTATAATAATAATTGTTTTTATTAAACCAGTCGTGTTCTCGTGATAAATGTGAGTCACTACAAATTAAAAAAACTTATTGCATTTGATTAAAAAGTCTAATTAGTTCATTAAACCAAAGGAAAAATGAATGGAGTTTTATCAACAAAAACATAGTCAAAATATGAAGTCGGGAAGTATATTCTAACATAAATTTCGGTGAAATAACATGTACGAAATCCGATCAAAGGAATACAATATAAATAGATTTTAACGAATCTGAAAATGGTGCTAAACCAATAAAGGCGATTTGTTACCAAATGTACGTAATTATTGATCCACACAAAGTGCGATAAGCAATTCAACTGCCAATGACCAGTTTCTCGAGTTTCCAATTACGTCTTAAATTATAAACTGGTCTGTATTTGTAAATGTTACAATGATTTATATCATTATGGGGATCATGTCAATATCAACCTTCGTTTGGTTGAGCTTCCAAATACTAATAGTTTTTTAGCCTACTATTGCTTTTATCTTCCAAGTTGATGTGGCAGTCCACTGTGATTCACGCAGTTAATGACCACATGAAAGCTCCTTCACAAGACTGAAAAGTCTATTTTTCAGTCATATCTCGATTGAATCTAACTCTAACTGGAAGATGGACAAAACACTGAGTTCCTTCTCTGATCAAGTTGCAATTGGATTTAATGTCCTACGTAATTCAGTGAAAAATCTACCTTATCCTAAACAAATTTACCTTGAATCGAGATTCAAAACTCACATGGCCCAAACTGCAGCTACACATATCCACTGTCAAGTTGAAAGGAACTAGGATGATCAAAGAACAAACTATAAAAAATCGGCTACTCTGTGAAGTTATTCAATAATATCTACTTACAAATTACGATTTACTTGACATGATACAACAAAAACATTCACTAGAATCTTTGGTAACATCTCTTAGTGGATAACAGTGTTCAGTGTTTCTCGGGCATATACAGTGAACGCCATTCTATCAAAAATAAAAGAGACTATTAAAGAGACAATTAAACTGGACAAGGTCTGCAGGAATGTACTCTCATCGTAAAAAAACCACCAGATAACGCCATATCAATAAAGCTACTCTCCAAGAATGAAAAAAACGTATAGAATAGAACGTTACATATCCTTCAGATAAAAAATTCAGTTTGATCGTTACAAACATAGATCAGAAAAAACCTCTTATCGGATAGATATGCACTTGAGAATTGAAGTAAACTGAAGGTCGACAGTAACGTCCTTCACGCACGATGACTAGTCAAATATTAGACCTAGTTAGGCGTTTTAAGGTATTGTGTGAAAGGAATCCTGATAAGTCAGAAGCTGTTGTTGCTATTGAAGTTCTTGCGCAACTTCATGAATGCTCCGATGTCACAACAGTTCAAGGTCTTCATGATGTAATGAATACAGCTATAGAGCGTATGTGGAAAGAGGGAGTTAGCAACCTCTCCGTTATATCAGCTTGTGAATTATTCCAGCGTTTTATTACGCTAGCAACACTGGATACAGTCGATTTTGATGAATGTAAAAAAGTTCTTTCTGAGAGGGCCCAGATATTTATCAGAAAGGCGAGTATAATTTCAACCATTCTAATCAGGGAATTAATATTCTCGATGTTTTATCTAGGTATTGAGTTAATGGTTTTTATTACATAAGCATACTTTTTGGCCATAATATTGTGTAATGTTTAGCTCAAAACTTTACTTTCGTATACTGTCGAAGGAATTACTTGGTCCTTATTTGTTGTATTAATGTACGCATGCCGACTAAATAATATCCCGTAAACTTGTTACTGGGAAAACTACCAAGACGTTTCTTTGAAAACCAGTTTATCGAGAGATCGACGTGAAGAAATGGTGGGAGGCTTTCGCCATCTTAAATTTGAACACCCAACATTGAAGTTACCCTATCAGTTATGAGTGTTCTGCATTTGAATCGGCATCGATAAAAAGAAGAAACTGAGTTTAAGAAATGTTCTCGTTAAAGGTTGTACTTCAGGTTTACGGTATCTCTGCCTCCTCGGGAGTTCTTGTGATTCGTAATGCAAACCAATGTCTTAGTTCATGTTCAAATGCCTATCCCTAAAATATTTACTGTGCGATAACCAAAAGTAATTCATAATCACCAGAACGGAGGCAGATGCATAAGTATCCAACCTTTTCGTTTAAAACCTTGTTTATGCCCTTTTTTAAGGCTAACACGTACTTTATGGGTGATAATTTCCGTTTTAGCGTTGATATCCTGTGCATTTTAAGTTTTATGCCATACATAGAATTGTCCTAGAGTTAGTGACACGTTTTTACTAACTTTCAAGCATGCTTTCCTTTTGATTCAACAGAGTTACTATGCTTACTTCAGGCTCGTGTAAGCTAAAAAGAATGCTAATTTATGTATTCATAGACCTCAACTACCTGAGATTCTACCTAATGACTTTATAACCGTCTGTTTTGTTTGCGTTACGTCTATTTTTATCCAAAAATTATCATTGTTTGCAGCACCTACCACCGGTTTATCACTTGACTTACTACATTTGTTGACTACTTCGATATCAAATAGATGCCCTATTCAACGTAGTTTCTTCAAACCCAGTTGGGACTGTGGTTAGCTGAAATCATTAGTCTTCCAACTGTTACCATTATTTTTGTGAAGGGTGAAATCGTAATAATGGAAATATTTTATTACTCTAGCAACATATTTCTTTTAAGATGGTATTGTAAATGTCGGGTGTCATTTCTTTTGATCCAAGTTCATGTGCATATAAATTCCTGTTTTTTGTAAAAGACGACTGACAAATCACATTACGCTCTGCATAAGTTTATAAGGCAAACTATTATTGACACCAACTCGGTTGTACAAATAGTAAAAAGGCGAGAAGCATTGCCTACACCTTGCGACGTAATCATACTAACACTATGAATAGACGCTAGTTTTTATATCGAACTGTCATTCTTATCGTCCGCAAAATTTCTACGTTTGAGAGATACTAACACATTAACAACTTATCCCGTTCGCTTCCTATACTTGTATATCCTTTTATTATCATCACTAGCCTGGTCAGTTAACTCCTTCCTTTTGTATGAATGTGTGAAACAATAAAAAAGCTTAAGTATTTCACTTCTTGAATGGCGGTTAGTGTGCTACTAAAGCAATTTTAGTTCTCACAGTCCTGTGTTATTTTTAACTCTGACTATACCCATGAGTTCCAATTTAATGTGTGCCTACGAAATATTCTTGATTGGTAACATTTTTCAAATCTCAATATTTGAGTGCATAGTTCATTACTAATAATTACGGAATTTTGTTTTTCGCTACAGGTCGGTTCATGTAGGCGAAAAATAGCAGAAAACTTTCTGAACTACATCCCTAATGGTTCAGTGATATTCTTACACTCTTATTCCCGTGTTGTTCTTGCTGCACTGGCGTATGCTGCATCTACTCAAAAGCGTCTTCATTGTTATGTGACAACATGTGCACCTAGCGGGCTGGGTGCAAAAATGACGAAAGCGTTGGCTAAATTAAAAATTTCCTGTACTCTTGTTCCAGACAACTCTCTTGCTTACCTAATGCCGCAAGTCGACCTTGTTGTTTTAGGAGCTGAGGCTGTAGTGGAAAGCGGTGGAATATTAAATATGCTTGGTTCCTCACTAATTGCAATGACAGCATCTTCATTTGGTAGACCAGTTTATGTGCTTGCAGAATCTTTTAAATTTATGCGGTGTTATCCTCTTGATCAGCGTCATATTCCTGATGAGTTTAAATGGTCTTACGATCATGAGTGTGGATCGTTATCACCATCAACTCTATTAATTTTAAGAGATGGGAACAACTGTTTAACTCATGATGAAAATAACTGCGATTTTCCGGAAATGAAAACAGCATGGGCTGATGTTGAAGCACAAAGAGTTCCTGTAATTGAGCAAAAAATGCCTCGAGTAGACTATACAAGTCCATGTTACATTAATTATCTTATAACAGATCTGGGTGTCCTAACACCTTCAGCTGTTAGTGATGAATTAATTAAATTGTATTTATAATATTATGGCCATGAAAATATATACCTGTTCATACACTGACTAGTTCTTTTTCTTAAATCAACATTTCATTGCTAAATCCCAGTGTCATTTTAAAATTTTCTCTACTTGCTTTTTCAGTTTCCCAGTATGAACATATACACATTTCTGTACATCTTAGTTTGTTTATTCAATACGAATATTTCAACAGTGACAATGACAATCGTAGATAATGACTCGTCAGGTTCTGCATCTCGTTTACTGGTTCTTCTAATTGATGGACTAAGATGGGATGTAATAGCTAGTCATTTAGAAAGTAATACTAATAAATTCGGATTCAAACGACTACAAGAAAATGGTGCATATTTGCAACGTTTCACTCCTGTATTTCCCGCAGAGTGTTATCCGAATATTTATTCACTATTCACAGGTATACATTATTTATGCATTATATCTTATTTACTTTAATTTTTTCATGGTTAAATTCAAACATTTCAGAAAATCCATGAAGTTAGTTGCATATGCTAAGCTTTCAGTCACATAAAACATTTGAATGTCATTTCTATTATCTGACTCATTGATCGAAGCATACGAAATGAGCTTAAATATGGATCCATGACTTACTGGTTCAACATTTCGTGTCTAAAACGATCAATTGCATACATTAAGTTGAATATAGTTCAAGGATTTGCGAATAAACTACCAAGTAATTGATAGATTAATATGATGATCCTAACCACTGATATTATAAAAATTAAGAGTTACTCCAGGGAACAAGATGATTATGTTGTAAAGAAATGAAAGATGTAAAATCATGTTGTTCTCCATTATGTTTTAAAACCATTTCAAAACAGTATAAGTTAAGGCAAACATTTCATTTTGATTTGTAGTACATCTGACTTTAGGCAAAAAACGAAATAAAGTCTCATTGGAATGGTTACTAACTTCGATTTTAAGTCATGTTCGATAGCCTTTGAAAACATTAGGTTCCATGGTCTTCAAAAATCCACCCAAGTAGTCGCAACAGATGCTAATTGATTACAATTTTCTTTCACTTCACGACCATATAAAAAACCAACCACCGCTCCTATTTATCCAACTAATTCTAGTGTCAAAATGGTTTTATACGAAATCTGTCTTTACATATTACGGTAAACATATCTAAACCATAAAGTTGGTTTTTTAAAAAGACGATTTCACTCATTTTTCTGTAAGCACCCTTGCATAATATAGTTATTACATAGCATCATCGCGTGATTCATACAGTCCAAGAACAACTACCCCACACAGCTCTATCATTGTTCTACTGGGTAGCATTTGGCGTAAAGTGTATTTCTGTCATCTTACTTGATGGCTACTCGAAATATCCCAAAAATCGCTCATAGTTGTTAAGATTGTTATGATTTATAAGTAAAAATAAATAAATGGTTGAGGGGGAAATTATTAGTTTCACAGTGGTGAGGAAATAATTCAAGATATATTTAAGTTTATATACTGTGTTATGAATTCTCTTCTTAGTATTTCTGAACACTATTCCACTCGACAAGTCCCCAAATCAGAACACGGTTGAACAGGAACGCAATCGTATTTCAAATAACAAGGTTGGATGGAAGCAGGCATCACAAAAAGAAAAGCCTTTAGTATATTTTGTAATTTTTACATAAGATTCCAGAGCCTTCTTCAAATATCTGCTACCACTGATTAGTTAATAAACAACCAGCCGGCGTGCCCCAACTCAAACCATCCGGAACATGCGTTAATCCAACCTATAACCGGCTTTCAAATTGAATTTCTTTAACTGCCCTTTTCCGACATATTTTTTTAAATGAAACAGTTTCTTACACCAATTATCATATTCAGGTGACTGGCTTCATCTCGATCGACTTCGTTATCTAGTAGGAAGCTATAAATTTTTAAGTCATCTAATTAATGTTAGGACAGTTATTTTCTAATAATAACACGAACTTAATGATCATAAGTATTGTTATTATTCTATCGCATATACGGATAATTTAGATAGTTTCTTTTAACGCTTACAAGTGAAATGATGCTCCGATTTTCGTTAAAAGGTCGTCACCCAATTGATCATGGAGTTATTCTGCCAACAACATTTAGTGAACATACAACGATTAATGGTAAACCTATTCGTTCACAAGTTGAAGGTCTTTGGGAGACAGGGGTAAAACAAGTGAGTTCTTCGTTCTATTTTCTATTCTTTATCTTTACCTAATTTTCATTCTTCAAGTGTTTTGTCACTAAGATATATATATATATATGTATATATATATATATAGTACTTCAGCATAAATGTTGACTAAATTATATTCATTTTGACTTTTTCTTTCTATTTTCCATGCACAGAATAAAGGTGTTCATCTTTATCATTTGCCTATATGTTCTACTGAAGTTGGCGGTGAAAATAGTTGGTATTGTGAACCGTATAGTCAAGAAGTTATGAATCCGATAAATTTGAATGCTACAATACAAAGAGCTGTGGATGGGTTAAAAAATGGCAGTGCTCACTTAGCAGGTATTCATTATATATGTATAACGTACTTATTAACCTTTATTCATTATTTTGTATTCATCTTATTTTGTGATCATTCACCATCATCCTTACTGATTTCGACTGTCTTTTCACATTTTCACCTTGTTAATTTCCACACATAGTAAATGCGATATTGTAAAATGTACTCATTTGAACTGATCCATAAAGCTGTGTCAGATCTCATTTTGCTTAACATTGACCAACAAATCTAATTCATTGTGCAAGAGACAAAAAATATACATATCGTATCAAAAGTTACGAAATAACCTGTGATTTTTAGGGCTATTTCCATTTTAATCTCCTGGATATGCGTACTTCAAATAGATGTATCTTGTATTCATTGCATTTAAAAGGTAGTTCCTAACAGAAAGCACTTAAATGAAAGAATTTTTTAGAAGCTGCACATAACTACTAATTTTATTTCTTTTTCGATCAATGATATTTAAGTTCTTAGGTCAAATTAATGTTTAGACTACTTCATATTTTAATCTCTTTCTTTTTTATACTATTGTTTTTACTTCGGTAACTTAGTGTTTAAAAAGACTAAAGATAACCTGACTGAATCATTTCAGCAGTTCGTAGAATCTATGACTGTTGGTGGATTTTAACGGATTCGGATGCTTTAATTAATAATAGGTCCTTGCATGTTTTACTACTACCAGGTATCACTATGTACCGGCTTCTGTTGGTATTAGTTTTGTATCTCGTTACAGTTGTCAGCTCTATACCCACTAAATTTCAAAAAAATATAAATAAGTTACGAATATCTGATCGTTGACTTTTTCAAGATGTTTCTGGGTGATGATGGGATCATGGAGTTAGTAATACAGTTTTTTCGCATGATATGAAAGAAGTGTGACTCATTTATCAAATACAGGTTCATGTTCTTGGCTTTTAGTCACATTTTACTTGCATGAAAACTAATGATGCTACCTTTGCGGCAAAGTTAAGTTGGGTCAATGAGGCTTTGAACTTCCCTGTCAGTGGCTGTATGCTAAGATTTTTAGCTGTTCATCTTACTTTACAGCTGCGTAATGTTACCTTCCTCACTATGACAAGTGAACAATCAAGTTTTGTTCTTGGTACTCAAAAGTGTCACTTTATTTGCTGATTGGAATTCCCTGGTGATTTGTTTAACCTAGAAGAATACAGATAATGACTTGCGAAGTGTATTCCTATCATGTTTGTTGGTTTTTAAATGTTTCTAATTTCCCAATTTTTTTTAATCCCTCGTTTGTCATCTAAGAAATGATTGTCGATAAACTTGATTGGGACATTAAACAAGATCCATTTTTCATGATCAGACGTTTTTGAACTATTTTGAGAATAAAATAGACAATGTCATCGGAATACTGCTTTTCAGTTTCGTTATTAATTTACATTCTTTTTTCTCTATGCTAACTAATCATCTATGTAGTTTTCACTTTTTTGTACGATTATCATTACTATTATTATGCATTAAAGTTCCTAAGTAGTCAAGAACTGTGTTTGCATGGTAAGTAAATCGGTGTGTGTGAGTGTGCTTAATATATAATTTCTTTCTAACTACATTTTCTAACAACGATCATTTTGTTTTAACTAATAATAGTTCAGATTTTGTTCACAAATGTTTACTTGTCCTATCCTCATATTGTTTGTGCATGTATCTAATACTGACAGTTTTGGTAAAAGTTTATATTCTTTGTTGCACTGTGAAAGTTAATAGAAGTGTCACCTTATGAATTGAGTTTCATTTAGGTTCGATCTTTCTGAATTGTAAACAAATGAGAGATTCTTTCAATATGGAACAGGATCTATACTAACTTGATGAACTGAATGACGAATGACTACTACACAATACTTTAACGATTATGCTCTGCACGATGGATAAGAGAAAAATATTGTAAGAACGATTTATCGGTGGAGACCTCGGAAAAAAATAGCTAATTTACATTTCAAGTCAATTCAATTATAAATTGATTATTCAATGATTTCATCAAATAAAATAATCGACATTTGAACACAAAATCATGGTTGATCAATCAATACAATAACGATGAATTGAAAATAAAATGAACTAAATTCACATTGAATAAGCTGTTATAAATGAAAACACATTGAAAGTCAATGAACCAAGTTCACTTTAAGTCAATATGTGAATTTTAGGATTTCCTTCTTCCTAAATGTGTTATTTTGGGAATTCCCCATCTCTGTTGTTAACTTTTAGCTAGCTGGATAATTTTTACATTGTAATGATGTGTTCTTACAAAATATGGCACTGTAATTTGCTCTATATCTAAATTTCTTGTGAATCCAACGTGTCTGCCGAGATGTTTATTAGGCTTGTAACTAATGTTTTCCCTCTGTTTATCAACATCGACTAAGGGGATTTAATGGGTGTCGTAACATTTTCATTATTTTTTTTACTGTCTCTTATTTAGATTTAGTTAAGTCATCACATGTTTATGCTTATTGTGTTATAATCCTCATTATGTAAAGATTTTGTTGTCATCGTAACTTTTATAGATATAACGAGTTTCAAACTTACAACTCACAGGTTGAATGTTAAATTCACAGTTACTGTGCATGATGTGACATAAAAACCAACTCTTTAAAAATTTGATTGGCTCGTGTAATATAAATGTTAAGTAATGTAATTCAATAGGTAAGTACGTGTATATCAATTCGATTTCGAGCCACAAGTTTCTCCATAACGACTAATGTTACCATCCAGGTCATCAATCCTAAGTACTTACTTGATAAATCATGCATAACGATAAATTCATGCATAGTTATTAACTATTCGAACTTTGTTAAAGTTAATTTTAACTATAAAATCAAAAAAATTGTCTGTTTGGTCACGATTATATTCACTTCCTGTTTGGGTAGACAAAATTTTGAACCAATGTAAATTATTTGGTCAATTTTTTTTCTTTTCTAATTGTTCCTATAATTCCATACAGAATGTCCCTGTCATAAAACTGAATGAAATATCTACAATAGTTTTCATCTCTTATTCTAACTAACCATTCTAATAGATTTTTTCCCTATTTATTTTTTAAGAAATAGTTTGTTAATATCTAACAATAGAATTTAAAATACTCCTAATTTGCTTCGTCCTAGTGTGTGCTCAATAGTCATTGGTTTTTTTGTTCGAATTCTCAAACCTTAGTAACCAAACATTGGCTCAATTTTCAAAGATTTATGGATTAGGCTAATGAATTTGTTCACTAGTCATCTCTTTGTTTATATTGATTATTCGTTTTATTGAAGTTTGAAATTTTCAATTTATTATGTCTTTGGAAGAGGATGGGCTAGTTTCAAATAAGTATCTTCACCTGTACTAATAAGAGAGTGTAAGTTAACAGTTATGACAGTTGTTTATGAAAATTTTACTATTGTAAGAGTATATTGGCTAGTTGTTAGTGAGCAGATAAGCAGTATTCTGTCATGGGTAAAATGTTTTCGCAAATCATTTTAGTCGGCTCAAATTATCACTGCACTCTTGCCAATTGTGTTTGCGTATTCCTCTCAAAATACTCGCACTTAGTCCATATTTCATCGTTTCGATGTGCACCTATCACAAAAATGAACTCTAATAGGATAAAATCGTTCGTTAATTTTTTAATTTTTTTTTAATACAGGAAGTTGTAAAGAGACTAAGGTTACTTAGACAATCATTGACGATCAGAAAATAAGTAATAGTTGTTTCATCGTAGTATGGGACTTCTCAATAATGCCTATTCACAATCGTACCAGGAATCGGATCTAGAAAATTTACGACTCCAGGGAAGGACTTAACCTTCACAAATCACTGGTTTTGGTACCCAATAGGTTTAGATTTATAACTTTCTTTTTAATTTGTATAATCATTTGTCCGATTTTAGCAGATCATTTGAATGAACACAGTATTTTGTATTCATTTTTATTTGAATTGCATTATTCTTAGTTATCTCACAAAAGACTTGTCATCTTATGATATAATATATGGATTTATCATTTTTAAGGGATTTTACTTTCTAGTTGTTAAAGTCTGTAATAGATCAGTGGCTTTTTAACATATATGCATCCTGAGTGAATGGCCTCCTTGTTTTCATTTAGTCACATGTGTTTTACTAAATTTGGATAATGGTTTGGTGTGGATTTCGGGACACGCATTTTGTCCTGCTTGGTACCAAACCAAGATTTAAATACAGTCATTTCGCTCCAAATATCAACGCGTTATCCACTCAGCTACAAAGCAGAGGTTATCTGAACTCAGTAGCTCATGAAATAACGCATTAATTTTGGAGTGAACGATACTGGGTTCAGGTCTTAATGTAAATACTAATACTGGAATGCAGGTACATTTATCTGAGTGAACCTTTAATAGGGCGAAGATCAACTACTGAATTCCACTGCTACCCATCATACAACTTTAATAAAAAAATATGAACTTATTACATAGTGAATATTACATACGTTGTTTTTTGTTTACTCCTTTTTATCTTTTTCTTGTTTCAGTGGTATACTACGATGAATTAGATCGTATCGGACATAGATATGGTCCATTATCTAATGAATTAGTTCATAAACATTTAGTGTATTTGGATCATGTTTTAGATCATGCATTGAACATCATAGAATCTATACCAAATTTAAATTTAATGCTAACTTCTGACCATGGTATGGCGACTGTCTCACATCAAGCATATGCTGATCGTTATTTTAAAGGGTAAGATGAAATTTTTAACTTTGTTTAAACAACCATCATCATGTTTTTTTTGAATGTTTGCATCAAAATCTATTTCGCCTGTGTAATATGTTTGCTATCTAGTTGTGTAATAAAACGAAAATTTTTACTTTGAAATAATAGTTTATTGTTACCATCGCTAAAGTGTCCATAAAGTTATTGACCGTCGATTTGGGCTGTGTTGTTAAGTCCAAACTACCAGATTGGGGTCTGCGTGGTTCAAGACATTGAGTAGCTTGGCTCATTATGGATCGTAGGTGCATTTATTCTTTATATTGCCCTAGATCTCTAGTTCTATTATTCCTTTGTTTATACGTTTTCATCCTACCTTTTTAAACCATATTTTCAATTATTAGTCTTTTTCATTGTTATTGCTACTACTACTAATGTGCTATGTTAACTTGTGATAATGCACATCTATGATAAGCTCTGTATTAATCAAAACTGACTGGTTAATTTTTTAAAAATCAAACCTGGAATAGCAGTTTTATCACATAGTTACTAAAGGGTATCATGAATCAACTTTAAGTTGATAAGTTTGTGAATTCTGAAATGAGAGAGTCACTTCAATTACAGAAATACTAGGTATCATCAGTAGATGCTAGTTCTATCATCACACTTTTTATCATAGATAATCCTCCGATCACAATCATCGAACTGTTCAGAATAATTTATAGTTCACAAGATACGGTTCAGTGTAGAAGTCAGTATATATTGTGATTCATTTTTCCGTTACATTATCCATAGTAGTGAGATGAACCTTTTTGACTGAAGAAAACCTTTCCTAGTTGTATTTTCCTCAATAAGTACTGTTCTTATTCATTTACTTATTTTGACTGTATGCGAGCCTCCTCCTTTCTGATTTTATTCCCGATATCATCATTTTATTCATGAGGCCCATTTTCTTACTGTCCTAATGTATTGGGACTTTTATTTGCTATAAATAAATGAGTCGATAAAATCCTTTGCCGTATAACCTGTAAAACATTAGTGCTAATCTGACTTTAATTTTATTTCAACCAATTGATGTAATATTTAGACGAGATATTTCAGTGAAAACCTGGAAACACTGAACTACCGTTTCATCCTAGTATGGAGTACTCAGTAGTGCGCATCCACGATCCTGAATGCAGGACTCGAGCTCAGAACCTTCGGTCTCGCGGACGAACGCTTAAACTTTAGATCACTGAGCCGGTGGCATCCAACGGTGTTGATGTCTCCAATAGACCGATGATCTTGTGCAACGATTGAGCGTTCGCGCGCGAGACAATGTCCTGCGTGTAGGATCGTGGATACGCATTACTGAGAACTCCCATACTAGGACGAAACGGCAGTTCACTGTTTCCAGGTTTTCAACAGTGGTCTAGCTTGGATTGACTCATGAATTCAAATATTAAAATTGCTACAATCTCCATAAACCCCCATTCTGACATTTCAGTTAATTTATTTCACTGTTTTTAAAGTTCATTTAACTTTCCGTCTCGGTCGCATCTTCATTAATTCATCATAAAAAATGTTCAGTTTCTAAAATCAATTAGTTAAAGTAAATTGTTACTGAAAATCTTCAACTCCACTAAACGAGATCAGTATAAGATATTAGTAATTAAATAGGAATTATTATTATTATTGATTGGCATTTTGTTTTAATACTCGACTACCAATTGTGTTTGTTTTTTGGCCAATCCATATTTACATGACCTTCATATTTGTGTTTTGTTTATTTTAACATTTCGGACTTCATTTATGAAGCACAACAGTAAAGTAAATTTCGACAGTAAGAAATGTGTTATTGTTTTATTGTTTTTTCCCCCACATCATTATTTACGCTTATTACACAATATTGATTGAAGTAAACGCGAAAGGGGATTTAATCAAGCCATGACATCATTTCCACAAAATCACTGACTATTGACCTGGTTTTGCACGTAGTGATCTAAAATTTGTTAGTAAATTCTTCAGAATGATAAAAATTGTTGGTTGAAAGTCTCAGATAACAAGGAATAATTTTTTTTTCTTGTAGTTAGTATTACTGTCTAGCATCAACCCCATTTCATTGTTGTTTTTTTACTTCATCTTTATTAAACGTTTTCATTAACTGATATCGTGTGCTATGTGACATATATTTTATCGTAATTCATATTAAAACAATGGTTGTTCAAAATTGTAAACTTTCCGATTCCTTGTCCTTGCCGTATTACTTTGCAACTTTGAACATTTTAAACATTGATCTTATGAATGGTGACTTTCAAAAAAATCATTTAATAAATCTGAACAGTATCAAAGTATATTTTGTTACATTCTGTTTATAATGCATTAATCAAACACACAAGTTCACTGAATAGGTTATGAGTGTAACGTCCAGTCTTTGGTAAGTTTATGTCTAGCTTAAAGGTAGTTACCTTGTGTGTTGGGGGAGTGTTAAAAGTAGTAAGTGAAATTATCTAGAACAGAAAAAAACAATAGAAAAAGTGAGACGACGACTCGGTATGCACATAGATTGCATTTATATTTAATAACGATAGGATTTGACAACAATCAGAAATAACACTAGCGTGAGATTACGACAATTCGTTAATGGAAACAGAAAGTTGATAGTATAAGGTTTTGAACGTGTTACAGAATTACAATTAATTTTCTAACATTACAAATATTCTTTGGTTGTGTAATATGAAATATGTTCAATTTGTTTCAAACAACTATTACTGGTTATGAAAGCAGTTAATAATTAATATGTGTTATATTCATCCTAATTTTAATATCCCTACAAATATCCTAATGTTAAACTAATTTAATTGGACTAGTGATGATCCTATCTAGTTTTTCCCAGATAGTATAGTTTACAGATGTATAAAGTGTTTTGAAGATCTAACTTCTTCATCATAAATAATACATACCTTAAGCGGAAATTCTCTCATCCATATCTCCATATATGTATTAACTGCTTTGGATCGATTTCTTTTTAGCAAAGTCGAATGGTGAGATGTGATATATTAATACATTTGTTTGTTGTAATTACCCTCACATATCCATATATATATATATATATATATATATATATATATATATATATATATATATATATATATATATATATATATATATATATACCGGGAAATATGTTGTTACTTAGATCTTGACATTGTTGTAGGTAATCGTCATCCGAGTTGATCTGACGTTCCTCATTGTCTAACTGTAATTTCAGAAAAAAAATGTTAGGAGTTTCACTTTCTCCACACTACTCCTACTTCAATAGTTTCCATACTTTTCCACCAAACTAGCGGAAATTCTCTTGCCAAATCAAAACTTGGCATCAATCCATAAAGTCACTAACCTGTGATCTGAGCCAAGTTGGTAGATGCAAAGTACTTGATTGGAGACTCTGGGTGATATGACTCAGAATCGATCACAATGGCGTAGGTGTATACACTCTTTGTCTTCGCTTAAACCGTGAGATTAAAATTACTTTATACCTTTCTTTCTGCGAAGTAATTCTCCCTTTATTATATTCTTATATACAATCCTTCTTTTATATAATACTACCATTGAAGTGACTACTTCTATGAATTTTTTTGTTCATCGTGTTGTGCTGATGAGGTATGACAACTTGGATCGATGTACATATATGTGATTGATTCTGCATTGTAGCTAACTTACTGACTGTCTAATGAGCTACTAAGCACTGATCATTTCATAGTTGATCTTTTACAACTTACGAACAATTTTTTAAAAATGACATATGATTATTTTGTATTTGTTGTTTGTTCTATGCTTTTGTTTTTGTCAAAGTGATTATGTAGATATTGTCATAATGAATTAGTTGTACATTGATGCATTACATTGATTTTCTACGAATTATTTTGTTTTGTTAAATCACATGAATCAATGTAGGATAACAATGAATCAGTAAACATATCTCTATTGATTCCTATGTACTATTGCCTTTTCTTTGATTATGTAATTATGGTTCACGATTAGTACAGAATTTAAATTCGTTTATACTTAATTAAATGTTTCTTTGTAATTTTTTTCTTTAAAATTTACTTGCTGTACAGTCGTCAATTAAAATTGATGATAACAATGTTTAAAAATAACAACAGTTTTTGAAACAATAATATTTAAATGAAATTCTCCTTGAATCTGTGTTTCGATAAATCTAGCCGGCTAGTGATTGCAGTTTTTATAGAGTTTAGGCTTCTCGATACAAATTTGGTAGTAGTGGGATAGAAGGGATATATTTTCATTGAATGATTTTCACGCTTTTAGGAGCCTCATCTCATTTCGTTGTTATGTAGGTGATAGGAAATAATCATTGGTTGTTTTCCCAGAGAGACGACTGATAGATATGTGATGTGTCATACATCTTCCCTTGACCCTTTGTACATACTCGATTGTTAGTTAATACACATACTAGTCAGGCGAATCACGTGTTCTTGATTTGAGTTGTGTTGATACCTTGCAGAATAGTGCTAGCTGAGTATCTAGTATAGAGAGATCGGGTTGACAAGTCGTTCATTGTTCGTCCTAAGGAATTTAGTGTCTTATTAGTGTAGAAGAGATATTATGTGGATTATTTCATGAGATGCTTGTTGTCTTTAATTTCGGGAATTATTTTAACGTACGTTTAATAAGGTATTTGGGTGCAACACGTATAAAATTTTAAACTTTCAATATTAATAGACTGCATTAATATCGTCGGCCCCTCTCCTAAAAACTCAAGCACAACACACTTTAAAGTTAAACATACGAATCAGTACTTTAATAGTTGAAAAAATCTTCGTGCCTTGTTTCATAATTCTTAAAACAATTGATTAACATTATTTTTTCATTATTCAATGAATTCAGATTGTCACAGTTGAATTCATGAGTCTGTCTAAGCTAGACCACTACTGAAAACCTGGAAGCACTGAACTACCTTCTCACCATAGTATGGGACTCCTCAGCAGTGCGCATCAATGAACTCGCAATCAGAATCGAACCCAGAACACTCGGTCTAGTGCGCAACCGCTTAATCTCTAGGCCACTGGGCCGACATCTTGCTGCGTTAATATCTGACTTCAGTTAATCCATGATCTTGAAAAACCATCATCGTTTGCCTACTCTGTTTCACACCCGACACGGCTTGAACGTCACTGGTCATGACATCGCACTAGAACTCCATGAGTTACATCTCAAGGCAAGTCATCAGTGAGCACATGACTATTAGTAGTGTAGGGAATTTGTGGAGATTTTAGAATTTTAACAGTTTAAATCACGAATAGTATGACTATATTAATTCTGTTGAAGTTTAAGCCATTTTTACACTAGTGATATCATCATACAAAACCAGTATAGATCTGGACATTTTGTATATCAGTAGAGTTATTGTAACTGTTGTACAACTACTCGTCAATTTTTAAAGGTGATGTATTTTTTTTGTTGCTTTTCCTTGTTTGTAGCTCAGAGTTGGATAGAGTACTGAATCGTGGAAGTACATTGTGGATCTGGCCTAAACCAGAATTTGAAAACAATGTAAGTTGTTATCAACAAAATTCAACACACTGATTACCGCTTATCTGTCATTGTGTTTAACAATATAACTGTTATAACGCTTGGTTTTACTTCGTCTGATGTTATAACGGTTGGGTTTCCACGTTTACACGTGTGGGACGTTAATTTACCTTAAATTATTATCTACACTAGATTCCTTCCCAGTGTCTATTTTAGAAGACGTCAACACAACTCAGATCAAGAACACGTAATTAGCCTGACCACAACGTAAATATATTTCCACACCAAAAACCGACACAGTCCACAGCAATGAACAATCAATAATAAGTCCGTCCCAATAATAAGGATGATGGAATATATAACTTATCTGACACCTGTCCGACAATCTACATGTCTAACTAAGCAAGCAACCAATCATGATCATTCACGCCCACACATCAATAACCCCCATTTTTCTAGTTCGTTTTCTTATTTTTTAAAAACCTCAATCGTAATCTTAAAGTTTAGTATGCAAATTTACATTCATGTTGATTGTGCTATCAATATCCCACGTTTGATCAATGAGATTAAAGTTAGTTTTTTCCTGTAGTTATTATTTTGATATTTGGCAATCTCAATAGTCTTGTGTGTAGCAACTTGGGCCAGCCTACATTTATACCACTATCTACGTTAATTATGATGAACTGACTTGTTCATCGAACATATTGTATTTTTACAGATTATCTACTAATCATCATTTTAACAAGTAAAGCATGCTTATGATCATAAGTTTTATAAAATCCCTTCTCTATAACAGTTCAAAACAAAATGGAGATATTATTGTCTAGAGTGATGGCTTATTAGTTATAGCACTCTACTTTCAATTAGTAAGTTATGGGTTTAAATCCAACTTCATCGGGAGTAGTTTGTTATCCCTCACCATAACCGTCTGACTTAAATGATAAATCCATAAACCTGAACTGGGTAACCAAGTTACATTTCTATCAAGTTGACAACTTTTACTCCATCCTGTTGACCAGTTGCAAATATCAACACACCATGGTGGAACATAACACTCTGTGGTTATCTTTAAAATCAACAATTTCATGAGAAAAAAAAGTTTCCGTAAGATCAATAGAGAAACTTTACTACTTTTAAAGGAGAACAAGTAGTAAGAAGTATAAGATCACTGATTACTTCAGAATTATATTTGAGTGTATCATGGTCATTTTCATTATGTATTTTATTCAATATCACGTTTTTTCCCTATAGCATACATTTGAGTCCTAATTGTATAGATTTAATCAATAATCACTGCAAAATAAATCTGTCAATAGGTGAGTGATATTTCTCCATCATATATATATATATATATATATATATATATATATATATATATATATATATATATATATATATATAGTATGAGCTACGTATGCGGACAGATATAAATAGTATTTAGTAGGAATTGAAAGTGGAATGCTTACCAGCAGAAATGAAGTGAACAAGAAGAAACACGGGGAACAGTTGGAATAACAACATAATTATAAGAATCATGAAGCATGTTGCTATTCATCCTTCTCATGTCTGCTTCCGATTCTTGATGCAGTGTGTTCTTTAGCCTTCCACTTTTTCGTTTACTTTTAGGATTCCAGGTAGGCGCTTGCCTCATGATACACTTTGATTTTTTCTATTTATATCTTATCCACTTCCAGCTTTTTCTAATTTCCTCCTCCGCTGGAAGCTAGTTTGTTCTCTCATACAGTAGGCTGTTGCTGATGGTTTCCGGTCAATGAACATTGATTATCTTGTATAAACAACTGTTTATAAATACTCGTACCTTTTTTGATGATGTTTGTGGTACTTCTCAAAGTTTCAGTTCCGTACAGTAGTACTGTCTTGACGTTCATATTGAAGATATATATTCATAATTGATCTTTCTAAGCTAATATTATTTAGTAGATTTTCATCTTCACAATTGCTTACTTTTCTTTTCATCTTCGAAACATTTAGGTTTATAATCGTTTACTAATTCAACAAAGTAAATCTCCTTTCACTGTATACAATTCATCGACAATCCCTTCACATTGGGAAATTATGACGAATAATAATAATTCATTATTTCCACCGATATTGTTAATCGCTTCACCGGATTATATATTTCATTCCAATGCATGGCCATTAAATATGAGTCATTACAATTTAATCGATCCTAAAGGAATGCATGGCTATGATCCAGAACTACCTGACATGCATATTCCATTATTTATTTATGGTCCAAATTCTAATCGTGGTGTTCAATTAAATTTTACCAAAGAAATTCGTCCAATTCATATACATAGTTTAATGGCTTACTTATCATCGATTAATCTGCCAGATTTCCGTTCACTCGATTTATTCAAACCATTACTTTCACACAATTATGATTATGACAATAATCAGTTGTCACCTGTGTTGAATAATTTATATTGGTCATTGAATGACAAGTCATCATCATTATCATTTTCTTCATTATTACATGGAGATCGTTTTATGATTACTTTTTTAATCGGAGCAGCAGTGTTAACTTGTTTCTTTGTACTAATTTGTACTTTCATCGTATTAGTCTGTATTAGGTGTCGTATTTCATTGATGACTACACGTGTAGTCGGTTGTCATGATGAATTAAACAAGGAATTAGTCAAGTCTGAGGTACTTTCTGAAGCTTAACTTCTCAGTCATACTGTGTTCTATACTAATGTGTACGTGTGTTTCTTGTCTTTTTTCAACTAGTCTTTATCCCGTTTGAACAAAGAAGAAAATATTTATAGCACTCAGGTTATTTTTGTCTGATAAAAGACTATATATCTTTTTTGTCGCTAAGCTACTCTTATTGTTTTGATAAACCCTTTGTAAGATCCATTTCAAATAGATTATAAACTGACCAGCACTCAAACTAACTGTGCACCTCCCCAACAATCTTTTCTCTTCACTGGACAGATAATCGCTATTTTATAGAATATATATATGGGATATTTCTCAGGATATTAAAATGGTCACTAATTGTCAATATGATTATAACCGCTTTTTAATGTGACAATCATACTACTATTACTACTGATAAGTGTGATTACAATATCAGAGTAATAATAATAACAACCGTTTTGTGATTATTAAAACCGGATACTCAGTATAATATTAATATTCTTTTATTAGTCGAACATGTAGTACCTTCGTTCATGCACTTCCTTTCGCCTTAGAATTTTTGTATATGCGTGCGTGCGTGCGTGCGCGCGCGCTCACCTGTCCAACCGAACATTCATTGTATGCATGGATCATCTATTTCACCGCCTACGCCTACGGACTTATATACCAATTCTACAGAGATGTTTTGTTTTCTTTATTTGAGATTTAATATTTGTTCAATTATTTCGCCTTATTTACCCTAGTGATTTCGATTCTAGTTTTCTGACTTCTTTCATTATCATTATTATTGTTATTGTTATGTATTTTATAGGGAAAAAAACAAAAACAGAAAACATGTAGTATTTGCTTAGTTTATTTCCCCTCCCCATTACTTCTCTTTCAATTGCTTGCTAGCTTCTCTTAATTGGCTTTCTTTCTGTGAGTTTTATCTTACGTAAAAGAGTATAGCAAAAGTGTAGTTATTAAATTTATCAATATTTTTGGAAAAGAATATCCTGTCCTTGTTTTTGTTTTCCCCTTGCAAATATTACATAGTTTATAGGAAAAATCAATCGATAATAGGGAATAGTGATAGAGAGAAGTGAGTAGTAAAGAAAATTCAACATAGTTCCCATATGATTAAAGAATACCATAAACTCTAGAACTAAATAATGATTTCAGATATACTAAACACCATTTAAACTAAAAATGATTTGCCTGTTTCAATTATTATGTTACACCTTTGTTTTCTTGATAATTTAGAGGAAAAAAGTTTTTTTTTGTACCTTTTGGTAAATACTAATGACTAACAATCAAATGTAGGATTTGTTCTGTTTTAAATCTGTTCATTAAATGTTTATAAAAATGTAACAATCAAGCATAACTCATTTAACCGATATAGATTCGTGTAGTTAACTGTATGCCACATTCTCAGTATGCTATGAGCTACTGATTTTTATTGTCCGAATACCCAAACAGAAGTAGATGAAATTGGATTTAAAGCTGTGATCTGGTCATTGAAAGCTAAATAATGTAATCATTGACCCACTGTTCTAGTTAGTTATTATAGAATCATGACAGAGTTTCATTAATAATTCAATTATTATTTGAATCATGGACCGATTTAAGTCAGACCACTATTGATAGCCTGGATGATTTTTTGGTATTAGTATGGAAATCCTCAGCAGTATACACCCACCATCTCGCACGTAGGAGTTGAATTCATGACCTTCGGTCGCGCGAGAATGCTTAACCTCTAGACCATTGAAATTCAGTAATCTCCACAAACTGATAATGAAAATTCAATTATCGTCTGTTTAACTTTAATACTGATTCTCACTGTAGTTGTAGAAACAGTTTATTGTAAAAATGTCAAACATCATTTCATTCGAAAACAAACAAGGCGAAATCTACCAGCAAAATATAGAATTGGATTTTAACTGTAATCGACGACCGGCTCTAAACAGATTTTAGATTATGCATCGTCGAAAATGTATTTTGACTCCACGATGAGCTAGTCTACTGTTTGGCAACTCAAACTGTTAATATTAATGATCAGTGGCCTATAATTTGAAATCTATTCCATATTGGCATAGACAGCTGGAAGGTATACAACAAAATATAAACTAAGTAGTTCAGTTTATAGATGTCATCACTGAATATAGTAGTCGGTTTCGCACACATTTTAATGTGATCCTTTTAACAGTTGCACCGAATAGTGTGGTGTGTGCTACTTATATTGACATATGTAGTATATGATGTTAGTCGTAAACAGAAGGTCTGGAAGCAGAGACAAGAGGATCGAACAGTAAAGAATGGAAACAAAATTCAATTTGTATGAAAATGCAAGAACAATGAAGTCTAAGTTATTTTGAGACAATTGGTGGACATTTTGCAAATTAAGCATTTACTTTATGATTGTTAGATTTTATTAACATGTCCCGTAATTTTGTGTTAAATACATTCGATTGTCCCCACCCGTATTTTGTTCACTACAATATTACTTGTTTTCCCGTCCAGTAATTCTGCTTTGAAATGTTGACTGATGTTTTATAGTTATATTTATCGGGTACGAAAATTGTTCTCCATTAGTATGTGCATATTTTGACTACTCTTATCTCAGTAATCTTAATACCTTTAATTATATTTAGTGAACTATCAACTGTCTGGTGTATAGAGAATGCTTTAAATTGCTACCTCTCAAAATATTTGTTTTTCCATATTTCTGTTGTATGGATTATTGCCTGGGTGCTCGAAGCGAAGTAGGTGATTTCTTTAGAGAGCTGCTACCCTAACAGGCAACCTAAAGATTTAGTCCACAAGATAGTCAACAGTATCAAAAAATACAATCCTGTGGCAATCGGTTTTACAGATCCCCTGGGGAGGTACTCTGTATCAACTGACCAGTTTTGATTTTTGCTTTCCGTCCACTTTCAGAAAAACACTAGAGGAAGTAAACTAAACGCCTCATCTTTACAATCATTTCCGTGGGAAAAGGAGACTCAATCTACTCGTTCTTATAAGAGGCTGTATGTGTGGAAATAACGTTATAGAAAAAGGGAATAAATGTAAAGATACCACACCAACCGATCGTTGCATAAGAACATATGTCATACTGTTTAGTTTGTAATAATGATAGGATTTTGTCAAATGGTAAGCAATTCATTATAGTTGTCTATTTTGGTGTTAAGTGGTTGAAAACAATCCAACCGTAATTTCACTAATTACAATAGTGAATGATGTTTGTTAGAATCTTCAATATAATAGTGTACAATATGTTGTAAACCACCACATTTATTATCCTAGTTTCCTTTCATATCCTTCAATTAAGTTAAAAGTTCACTTATTCTTCTAAAAAATTATTTACTCAATATACATAAATTATCATGTGATACAGTTTAATCTTAATTGGCACTCCCATTCTTGTTTATAATCAAAGTTTTTAGTCCACTAACGTTATATTATCCAAGTGATGAAGACATATTGAGTTAATGCATGATATTCAACAAGTTATATGTTTCACTTCATGGATGTACATCCACCAATGTTTAGTTTAATTCTATGCAAATGGTTAAAGATCTCAGATTTAAAATGAACTAGCTTCCTGACTGCTATTCATTTTATAATGAAAACTTTTCAAATGTACTACTCGCTGCATAATTCTTATGTATTCTATTATTCCTTTTTTTTGTAACATTCGTTACTAAAAGATTATGGTGATGAATTGACTTACACTACATAAACATCTACGACAAATTGTTTAATCTACATAAACTGTATCTGAAGAAGTCTAATATTTTTTGATAAAAACAATATTTTCAGAAGGGGTTTGTGGAGATTTTAGAAATTTTCACAGATTTAAATCATGAATCAGTTGAAGCTAGACCACCATTGAAAACCTGGAAGCACTAGACGGCCGTTTCGTCCTAGTATGGGACTCCTCAGCAGTGCGCATCCACGATCCCGCACCACGAAGGGCTCGAACCCAGGACCTACTGGCTTCGCGGCTTCCAGGTTTTCAATGGTGGTCTAGCTTCAACTGACTCATGAAAACAAAAAACAATATTTTACAAATCATGTTTACTTAATGTTGAACATTTTTCTAAATTAGTTCACTATCAAAATTAGAATTCATCTTCCTGACTTTAGTGGTAAATTTAAATCTACATTATCTTATCTATAGTAAATAAGTGTATGTTAACCACAAGAGGAAACTCACATGAAAATTGTTTGATTGTTTTATACAACTATACGATATCAAATATTGAACTATTTATCTTAATGGATGTGTTTTGTTTTTGGAATTTCCTCAACATAGTTTCATAATTACTTAAAAGTTTTAAATACACCATAAGTTCATGCTACAAACATCATACTACTCTCTCGTAAACTACGATACCGTGTGATAGATAAGCACTCTAATCATATCTGACACCTCAGTATCTGTAATCAATTATGTTATAGTCAGTCAGTCAGCTACAACGTAGGACCAGGCACATATATGCATCGGTCCAAATTGCCATACTTTATTAACACAACAAGATGAACACCGGATTCATAGAAGTAATTAATTCAGTTGTAGTAATATATAAGAGAAAGATTGCAACAAGGATATAGTACAGAAAGAAAGAATTAGTTGGTAGAAAGAAAGATATGAAGCGATTTTAATCTCTTAGTTTAAGGGAAGACAGAGAGTGTATACACTGACGCCATTGTGATCGATTCTGAGCCATGTCACCAAGAGTCTCCAACCATTGGTTAAGATAGTCATGCGGAACCTAACCAAGTAGTCTTCATCTACAAATATCGCTCAGACCAGAGGTTCGTGACTTCAAGCACTGATGCCACGTTTGGTTTGGCCACCCCTAACTTTCTTCCAACCATCTCGAACACCGGTTATCATTGCACGTCGCGGTAATCGATGTTCGGGCATACGTAACACGTGGCCCAACCATCTCAGTCGATGAAGATTCACAACCTCATCAACTGATTTACCATCATTCCCTAATACCCTGGGTCGAACTTCACTATTACCTACCCGGTGATCCCAACAGACGCCAGCAACATTTCTAAGGCATCTGTGGTCAAATACTAGTAGCTTACGAATATCTCCTACTCTTAATGACCATATTTCCCTGCCGTCAAGTAAAACAGAACGGACTGCCGCGTAGTATACTCGTCCTTTTATTGATAGACGGATATCTCGCCTTCTCCATAAGTGACGTAAGTTGGCAAAAGCCAAACAAGCTTTTCGAATCTGTGCTGAGGTTTCGTCAGGCACCAACCCATTAGGGCTGATCAGACTTCCAAGATAAGTTTAGTTGTCAACGCGTTCGACTACTTCACTCCCTATCCTTAGTTCAGGTGTTGACTCAGACCAGTCCGGAAGCAACAACTTGCATTTAGAAGGAGAGAAACGCATTCCAAACATTCTGTCATTGTTGCTTAGTGCTACCAAAAGACTGCATTTTATCAGAGTCTGCACCAAACAGAACTATATCATCTGCGTATTCTAAGTCGATGACTATGTTATAAGTTGTAGTCTTATGCCCTTTCAATATATAACGTAAAGATACCACCAATTAGAGAACAGTGACTTATCAATCGGACTAATAACGCATAAACCCCTACGACCAGTTTAGAATTTTATCGATCCATCCTTCCTGTTTAATCCAGAACACAAATCTTAGCCTTCATGTTATAAATCATGTATTTCAAACATACTAGATTTATACACATACCAAACAGACCACATCATACTATAAAATAGAAAATAACATTTGTACAAGATCAAACTAATAGTAGTTATATATGTGAAAGACTGCAATTAATAAACTAGGCATAACTCAAGTATAGTAAAGTGTATAATAGTCTAGAGGTTAAAATAAAGCTTATAATAAGACGAATATCAATATACATAGTTTAGCTGCTTAACAATTATACTATATATATATATAGTATTAGACCATAAATTGATCCCAACATTTACCATTCATTATACTTGTCAAGATAATATCAACTTATAACTTACATTCATATTCAGTATAGACCTTGTGTGCCAAGTGTGTTTTCATTGCTTTTACTTCATTTAGAATATCATTCATTCTTTCTGACAAACATACAATATTTATTGAGTTCAAATAGAATTTACATTTCAATTGAATTTTAAAACATAATTATAAATATATATATTAGTTATACATAACTAAACTACATTATATCACATTGATAACTTTCTTGTTTATGTTATTCCATACATTTTAGGTGACCTTGACATACTTATTTTCTTTTTTTTAAAATAGTGAAATTCATGCTTAAACACTGTATGAAAAAAAAATATTCTCAAAACATTATTATTTTGTTTTATTGAAATTGT